TTTTGGGTCCTGTCGCTCACAGGTGGGTCAACACCTCTTCCCTTCAAACCAATCTGACGTTGGTGCCAACAAACAAACAAGCAAAGAACATAATGTCAGGGCCATCTCCCTGGAAGAGCTCGCCTTCCTGGACAGTTGGAACATCGAGCCGCGCCCGGAGGTGGCACAGATGGAGGACCTTGCGCTTGAGCGTCGGAGTCGCAGGCAAAGAGTCTTATGTCCAGCTCCCTCCTTCTGTTTGTTTTTGGTTTGGGGGCGGCCACCCTTTTTTGAATCCCATGCAGAACAAAGTAATGTGTACCCATTGTTGGGTTTCAAGGCCCGCTGTTGATTGCCATTGTGGATGAGCTTCCGGCTGGTGGGGCAGCAATTTTGTGTTTTCACAGTTGGGATGATTGTGATTTTATTCATGCCTGCCGCGAGGGTTGCCATGATTGAGAAGTAAGTAGTCAGCCAGGTCTTTGATCAGTGCTTTGTGGCGGTTCCCTCTTCACGCTTGGCAGATGGTTAGGGCCGTCGCCAGCTCATTGTCATGGCCGGGTCCTGCTGGACAGAGTTTGGAAAAATGTGGCAGAGGTGCTTGGCAACATTGCGCAAAGTGAGTTTGCATGCTTGTTCGTGTTTGCGTATCTGTGTGTCTGCCGGGTTGGTTGGGTGTGTGCATTTGTATCTGAGTCTGTGTGTATGTGTGTTTGTGTACTTGTGCGTGTCTGTTTTTGGGGCATCTGCGTGCTGGCTGTCTGCATCTCGCGTCTCTGCGTCTCTGCTGTGACTGAGTGTCTCTGCGTCTCTGTGTCTCTGTCTCTATGCCTTTGTGTATGTATGTCTTTGTGATTCTTTGTGTATGTGTGTTTGTGCGTCTGGGTGTGTGTGTGTGCGCGTGTGTGCGTGTGTCTGTTGGCCTGCCTGCCTGGCCTGGCCTGGCCTGCCTGCCTGTTTGTGTTGGACCACTGAAACAACTTAGTTGCAGACGCAGATGCCTCAGCATGCGTTGCTGGAAGGATGATTTGGCTGAGAGTGAAGCGAAGCGAGTCCCGTCCTCGGACAGAGTTTCTGACCATTGCCAATCTTCACGGCACTGCCCGCTCGTCTCTTGAAAGCCTGTGACCATGAAGTATTGTCAACAACCTTATGCCCCTCGACATGGATTGACCCAGGTACTTTCAACGGACAAGCGGCGGGCTTGGTCAGCTTCTACGAGTGAGAGAGACGGAGAAAGAGCGAGAGAGAGAGCGAGAGAACACTGTTGCAACAAAATAGCAACTCTTCAAAGGACAATAGGGCGATGAACAGGGCACTTGATTTTGAGGCTGTGCTGTCATTTCTATTTGTGTGTATGTGTGTGTGTGTGTCAGCGCTTGGCGGGTTTTTCTTTACACACACAATTTGCTGTCGTGAAGTAAGATGAGCCCGCCACCAAGGAATTTCCAGCTGATCAAGCACAGCGCTGCGCTCACTGCAGGTCCTTTTATTGAGAAAGTGCTTGGGGCCCCTAAGAAACGCAGTATATACTTCCTGTTATGTCAGGTTGCCCTCCATTGGTGGTTTGAAGCCTGGTTTGGATTTGAGACTGAACCCCTGGCTTTCGTAGAGGGTTTCTCTGGATTTCCCACCCCGGAACACCTCCAAACCACAAATCCACATCACCAGTGGCAAGGTGATCAGAGGGCCTGCTAGGCCCTTGGGGCCTCATGTGCTGGCAACGTTGAGAAGCTGTAGCTGGCTGTGCGTCCATGATATCTCTAGACTGGTGAGGCGCTCTCAGGGATTTTCGGAGCCGAGGTGATGAAGCCAAGGTGCGAGCCGCGGAGGGTTGCAGCAATTGCACACCTGCAACTTGTTCAAGTCCTATTCGCAGGTTATTGAGGTTGGCCAGGTATTGCCAGAAGAAGTCGCACTCAATACGCGGGTTAAACCCAAACTTGTTAGTTCATTTTGTTGCTGGGTTCCGGTACAGTTGATGGTCAAGCTTGAAAGCAGGATTTAGCAGCAAGTGTTTCTCAACAGAAAGGGTGGCCTCAGAGATGCTTTTTCCTTCTGGTTTCTCGTTTGGGATCAAAAAGGGATCCCTAATTTTGATGCCCCATTTGCTATCCTAACCTTGTTTGCACCGGCGTGCAGCGTGAGCTCTGACCCTTGGAGCTGTGGAGATTGCCGCACGGAGCGGACAGTTTCTGAAACCTAGGGGCCTCATGTGGGTCGGTTTATCTTAATCCCGGATGTGATTTCAAGGGCATCTCACGAGTCTTCCAACATTTCCATTTTTATTCCATGCGCGCATGTAGCCCCGGCAGACAATTTGAGGAGGGCATGGCTGCTTGCCTTTGATTGCCATTACACCGGTGTTTCGGTTCACCCGAGTCAAAGTTTGGGGTATCCAGTTCCAGCGAGGCAAAGGCTGAGGATGGCAAAGGTGGCCGGCGGCTGAGGGTGGGTCGTTGAGGCGTGCCAAGTGGCAGCGTTTATTGTTTCACCAGCAAGCGTAGCGCAGCCCCCTTTGGAAGACTAGGGTTCCTTGTGGGAAGGGGCTGCGCACTTCTGTGTTGGTGAGAGGGTAGGTGTCAGTGAAGTGTAGGTGTAGCACAAGTGCGTTTGCCAGCATTGCGGCGCTACTGTTTCATTTTACCGTCGATCTATCCATCTAAACATATATATATATATATATCTATATTTGTTTGCCTATCTATCTCCATTCATACATCTCCATCCATCCATCCATCCATCCATCCATGCATCCATCCATCCATCCATCCATCCATCCATCCATCCATCCATCCATCCATCCATCCATCCATCCATCCATTGATCCATTGATCCATCGATCTCCTTGTCTACCTTTTCATCTACCTATCTATCTACCTACCTATCTAACTACCTCCATCTATGTGCCTGTTTGCCTGTCTATCTATCTATCTATCTATCTACCTGTCTAAACATGTTCATGCTCACCGGCCAGCATGCTGATCATCAGGGACTCAGTTGAACAAAGCAAGGCTATGCAATCATGTGGCTCCGGCGTTTCATTCATGCCTCTATTGGACAGTTGTCACACTTTCTTTTAGAGGCTCGCTGCCCTTTCAGGGCGGTTTCACTAAAACCAACAGACTAATCGGCATCCACTTCTGAGCTTCCCCTATTCTGACAACAACCCCACGCCCTTGCCTGGGGGTGGTATGGATGGCCTGGACCCCTGTAGAGGGATTTAGACCACCTTTGCACGTTTCCTATCAGATGGGCCATGCCGTTGACCCACGCAGCAATTGTTAACCATGGCACAGATGATACCCACCTGCCACGCTGTGCATTGCAGCCTCAAGTTTTGCCCGGACCGACGCCTTGAAAGTGCCAAATGGCGTGGGCCGACGCCGGCCGGGCGGATGTGGCGTTCCCCCCGCAGATTTTGGCGCGGCAATGTGGCTGTCCCAGTTTCGTTGAGCCCTTCACTTTACTTGGGTGAAAGTAGATGCTGCAATTCCATACGATTCCCCCATGCATTAAGTCATCCCCACTGCCTACTGACAAAAAGGGGATTGTGCCATTTGCTTTTACCCAACTGTACGTGAGGGATGTGCTCCAAGCTTGCAGGTGCAACATGGTGCCAGACAAAATGCAAAGAATTTGGTGCTATATTATGTAGGAACTTTTCTCCCGCTGGATTGCGTTTTTTTTGGTTCAGTCCCCCAAGCAAGCAAGCAATGAAGCAAGCAAGCAAGAAATGAAGCACCCTGAACCCCCCAGTATACTTTAAACACAAAACCACCTACCCTGCGCCTGCCCTGACCCACCTCAGACCCTAAACGCACCCGAACCCTACCCTCAACCTACCCTCAACCACCCTAAACGTACCAAACGTGCCTTGAACCCTAAAAGCGCGCACGTTAAACACCCGATCCGAAACCTCACTAAACCCGCCATCCTCAGCAACCCAACCACACCCTAAACCACCCTACGCCCACCCCGAACCTAACTTGAACCAACCCTGAACGGACCTCGAATCCCACCCTAAACCAACCCCCCAACGCACCCTGAACGTGAACCCACACCGTAAACCACCCTACAAGAGCCTAGATGCCTGTCACTCGGCTTGCTTTCATTCTCCTGTCCTGTTTCACCAAGGCACCCGCCAAGTATCCTCGTGAAGGTGGCGGTTCATGCACCAAGGACATCTTGGATGACGGGAACCCTGAACGCACCTCTTAACCCATCCTACCCTAAACCAATTGCCTGCCCACCCCAAACCCGTGCTAAACCTACCCAAACCCAACCTAAACCTAGCCGAAGCCAACCCCAAGCCTAGGGCCCTGAACCGACCTTGAACCCCGTAAACCCTCCACCCGAAACTACCAGAACCACACCTTAAACCCACCTTAATCCTCAACTACACCAACCTTGCGCCAACCCAAGCTCCATCTAACCCTCAACCTAAGGCCCCAAACCACCCCAACCAAACCCGCGCCAAACCCACCCTAAACCACAAACCCCAAACCCCCAACCACCCGAAACCCTAAGCGCGCGCTAGACCAACCTTAGCCCACTCCAGAGGTGACCGTAAAATGGAACGGATAAAAAATCAAATCCAGCGCTGGAAAAAAAACCGAAAAAAAAAAAAGGTCGGCCCACAAAGGCATTGAATGTAATGTTCCTATTCACCTGTCAATGAAGCTCCCCAGGCGGCCCCAGATATGCCGTGGAGAAGAACCGGATCCAGGGTGGCGAGATTTGGATGAAGTCCCCAGCTGCGCTGCCGGCTCGGGAGCGCTTCCATATGCCGAGGCGGGGTCCTGATGAGAAGCGCTCAACGTGCCCGTGACCCTACCCTACATGTACATTTGTATATGCATATGTAGATGTGTGTTGTGTATACTTATGTGCCTGGTGGCTCTGATTACCTCTACTCTTTGTATAAGTCATATATCTATATACATATACATGTGTAGATGCACACGCCTGGGGCTGAGTGAACCTCCCCCTGCTCTAAATCACTTTCTTTGCCCCGGCCACCTGGTGCAGGTTCGTTGCGAGGGCAATATATTCGGCAAAGGGTCCAAGGTGCAAAGCTTTGGTTGGAGCTCGGATTCTTCCGATTCAGACCCACACAGAGGTCAAAGCTTTTTGCAGAGTCGACAGCAAGCAAGAAAGATGTTGCACTCCACGAGGCATGAGGATGAAGATTGGTGGCTACGACACCACGATCGATCCAACCAGCGACCGGACCCATGCTTCAGTCACTTGGTGGGTTTTGGGCCCAATTCATTCATCCATCCTACTAATAGGGCGTGTACCCCTCCAAAAGTGATGTATCCCCACTAAGCCCCGGGACACCCCCTATTAATCAACAGGGAGGTTATTAATCCTGGTCAACATATTTGGTTGGATCTTACAACCTTTGACTTTTTCTGCAGCGCGTTTCCCCAAGCTGCACACAAAGAGTCTCGCGTCTTTTCGGGCGGGCGAAAAAGAAACTGGCCACGATGGCCGGTTGGATCTTCAAGAACTGGCGTGCGAAAAGGAAACGGGCCAAGGTTACTTCCCCGAGAACTCCCTGGTGAAACGAAGCGCTCCCAGCAGCAGCTCGAGCGCGGAACGCTTGCAGCTCCGCCGCGCCTATGTGGAGGAGATGGCCCAAAAGTTGCAGGACCGAGTGCGGCCGGGGGTTCTCAAAACGGGGAGGTGGTGTTTGCGGAGTTGCCAATTTGAGTACCAGAAATATCCGGTTATACCCGGTTACCAGAAATATGCGGTCATACCCGGTTACAACAAATATGCGTTTTTTACCTCTTGATACAATTAGTTGTTTTTGCTTGCCATATTATTACCCTTTGAGAAAACAAGAAACATCGGGCATCGGGTGTTTTTGCAGGTTTTAGTAAGGATAGGGTAAACCTATCGAAACAATGATTCCCAGAAAACCAGGACACCCCCCCGAATCAACGAATCAACAGAGCGTTTTTTTCTGCGTGGTTTACGTTAGAGGCTCCTGCAGATTACTGTGGAACCCAGAAACGCCGCGTTTTCCAGAGGCAGCTCCTTGCTGTGCACCTTTTGCACAATTCGGTTCCTGTTTACCCGCAAAGAGAGAAGCGGTTACGAAGCCAAAGGAATCGCCAGGAATTGCTTCGGCTTCAGCGCTGCGGAAAGAAAATCCATTGTTTGAGAGGCCGCTTCTGAGGTTTTCTCGTTTGAAGCAAAAGCCCCGTTTCAAGCAAAAGCCCCGTTTCAAGCGAAAGCCCCGTTTCCAGTGTGATCAGGTCATGCTCAGATGGCACGAATCGCTTCCAGGACCCGAAGAAGCGCAAGGCCATGTCTCAGCTCTACTCCCAGGTCATGCGCAGCTCGTCATTGCCCGCTCTGCACAGCACCCGGCTGGGAAGACATGGGCTTGCAAGGACTGTGTAGAGTGCTTGCCACAGGGCCGCTAGGTTCGGCCTTGGGGTTGGCCATGTGGGCCTCAAGAACCCAAGGGTCTCAGCTTGTGGCAAGCCCAGTAGTCGATGGTGATTGCCCAAGGCACATCGCCCAAGGTGCTGAGAGTCGCACTTCTCAAGTGCTAAAGCGTTCACAGCAGCCTTTGTTGCGACCTACTGTGCCCCATACAAAACAACAAAAGAGCCTCAGCACCTGCAAATGAGCTTAGCGCCTTTTCCCGGCGATCGCTGGTCCCGGATTATATAACCGGACCTGGGACGCCTACAATGTGACTTGAGTCACAATCAAAGAACAGTTAAGTTAAGGTTAGCCCGGGACAGTCCCGACCGGAAATAGGTGCGGCCGTCCATGTAGTTTTTTAGCAGATGTTTCTTTTTCTTTTTATTATTATGTTTTTGTTTCAGGGGGGGGTGCTTTTTGCTTTGTGTTGCTTCTTGTTTAAGCAGGCTTTGATTATGACTCACTTGACTTTGCTTGGAGGTCCCTGAATCATGGGCGGGTTCGGGCAGGAAGCCCCGGATTTTCCTCACGCTGCCTCGAAATTCGTCAGTTCAGAGCCTGCAGGCAAGTGGCTGCACACATTAGGGCTTGGAATCTCGTTGGGCCAGGGGATGGTCAAGGCGGCCAGGCAACTGTCGGTGGATGAGAAGACAGGTTGCACCGGTGCTTTGATCATGCGGCCTTGATGCCACGCATGCCAATCTAGATTTAGGACCTGGGAAGCAGTGAGCAAAACAGCGGACCGCAGGTCGTCGCAGCATGTGCCCAGCTCTGTTTTCGATGCTTTTGCTTCTTTTTCCTCGATGAGGCTCGGACTTGTGCAAGTCCAAATCAGGAGCTGCGCATTACCTGCGGCCTAGAATTGGCCTAGAAAACCTGCCTGTCAGCCAGTTGGCTTGGTTCGATTTTAGCTACAAAGGCATGCCAGGGTAGGGCTTACCCCCTCAGCTAGGAACCTGCATAGCCCTTTGCCTTGCGGCTACGGCCTGAGACTAGCTGCTCAGAGTGCCAATGGACCTGCCAAGCTACCGGTCAATGTTTTAAGGCGCCTTGAGCTTGAAAGTCTTTTCCCAGGGGCCAAAGCAGAAGGGCTCAACCAGGCAGACGGGCTCACTAACATGCATGGGCTTGTCGGGACGTTTGCGCGCAGGACCACTACCTTCGCCAGGTGTCTCAGACCGGGCTGCACTCAGACACTTTGCCTTAGCTTTTGCAGAGGGGTCGCTCCACGTCCCCTGCACTCACATTGGGAAAAGCTAGCCCTCGTACGGCAAAGCGAGCGTGCAAAGTAGCTTCAGTCAAGAATGTTGGTTCCAATGCCGCGAACGCGGGTCAAGCAGGATTCGTGTCAAGACAAGTCCTTGGTGGGACATTGGCCTCAAACATGGCCCTCGCGGACATGCTCTTGCATCCAGGCTGCTAATTTTGGTGAGGGAATTTCCAGATCCACTGTCTCAAGTTGTTTTGCGCCATTTGCGTCCTCTTTGTTCCGTTCGTCACCATCTGATCTTTGTTGGTTGGTTTTCAGGTCCCAAGATGGGACCTCTTACTTCCAGGTCCTTTAGAGGTGGCGCTTTCGATTTCCCCATCCGAATCCTAGGCCTGGTCAAAGGCCAAAGACGCACGAGGAGCTGCCCGCCCGGGGCCCAACAACGAGAATTGCTGGGGCCTGCCGGCCATTTTCTTGCCTCCAGATGTGTTTGTAAGCATTCTTACCATTCAGTGCTTGAGACTTTGCTAGCAGTGAGGGTACTGGCGTGAAACAACTGGCTTTCTGGGTGATCTAGTGGGCTTTGCTGTGGCGACCCATGCGCTAGCGTCCTGCAAGGCTTCTTGGTGAAACCGGCAGGTGAGTACTGGAGCTGGCGTTTCGAGCGACGCCATGACCAGATTATGGCTGTGCAATGGCGGAGTGTCTCATGTTCAAGGCTCTTTTGTCAAAGTGCTGTGGGCCAGGAAGCTGCCTCAACAACAAGGAGCGCTAGCAGAATTGTTTGTTTCACATATGCGTATTCATGAAGATATGTGGACGCTTGGATTGGATACTTGCATTCTTACCATGAAGCCAGACAGCCCTCATTCGTCTTTTGGCTAGTCTCACGGCCTGCTGCGCAGCCACGATCGAGGTCATGAAGCGACGCTTCACGACGGAAAGGCCCAAGAGCCAAGGTGGGGGCAATGTCTAGGTTTTACGGTTGACTAAGTATGAAACAGAGTCGTTTGTGTTTAGTTTATCTTGGGGTTGTGCCAAGCGTGCGGTACTCTTTTTTTGTTTTCCGTGGTTTGTGAGAGAGGTACAGGTAGTATGCGGGTGTGCTGGTGTCTTTGTGCGGTTGGGAGTCGTGGTGGTTGGTGAGTGTGGATCCGAGTGCCTGCGCATGAGTGTGTGTGTGTGTGTGTGTTATGTTGCATGAGTGTGTGTGTGTGCTGGGAGCAAGCCATAACCCCTTTTCCATGTTGCTTGCCAGGTACCCACACTTGAGGATATCGCGAGTTTCAGCAAACGAAAGGCTGAATGCAGCTGCCCACGGTTTCTAGAGTATATGTGGAAAGCTTTCATGCAAGCTCAACGAGAGCGGCAGGCAGCTTGCGCCGTGCGCCTGGCACAGCTGGCACGTTGCTGGCAGCCGAAGCCTTGTTTGGGGTTCCTTTGGCTTCTGAGGAGTGGGCTGAGAAGCAAATCAGAGGAACACCAATTTCGAAGGTTGCCCTATTTAGAGACGAACCCACAGGGCTGAACTTCTGCGGGGTTGGAGTGTTATTCTCATGATTTCTGCGACCGGAAAGCATGTTCAGCGCTCTATGTCCGAACTGCTTGGCACATCCTGCGTTACCTCAAGTGGAGCTTGATTGGTCCGAGGCGTGCCTGTGTGTTCCGTTCTGGAAATGTCGACCCAGAAGGAACCTTCGCTGGGTAAATCCGGTGGGGTGTCCACATTTTAGACAGGATCCTCTCCAGAAACAGTCGCCTCCAATTACAAGAAGCTTTGCCGGCCTAACGAAAGCCAGCGCGGCCAGGCACAGACCCAGCTGCGGCCCTGGCATTGGAGTCTGAAGCATTTCGAACGCGGTGTGAAATCTTAGGGTATGTGGTCATTGGCCACCTGCCCCATCCAAAAGATGAAGATAAGAGAGAGAGGCAGAGAGTGAGAGAGACAGAGGGGGAGAGCGATGGTGCATGGTGCAAGATCTCAGTCGGGGGGCCTAGCCAAGGCCGCCAAGCTCCATGACTGCAACGCCAAGAGGAACAAGCAGAGGCGATTATGGAAACGGGAAACCTCAAGCTTAAAGTCCTTGAGTCGAAGCTAGTCAATTTCAGGACACGGTGTATCTCTTGAAAGTGAAGAGGTTGAAGAGATCTTCTCACATCCTGTGTTCATGGACTTTAAACTGTTTGGGAAGGCAATTTCAGTGGTAAAAAACACGTTAGTTCACTCAAGAAGTGAGTCTTTAGCATTTGTTTCCGCCATGTTTTCGCACTGTTCACGATTTGGACCCTTCCACAAGGGGTAAACAACGCAGCCATGCCATGAGTATGATCCGCCTTCGGATGAGGCAATTATGGAAACCAACCAGAGCACCCTCAAAGCATACAGGCACACATGTTGCAAACGCCTAGGGGGGCAACCGCTGCCATGCCAACAGACACATTTGGCATCATGCGCTGGAAGAGTGAAGCATCACTACCTGGCCATGTTTCATGTTTACCATCTAGAAGCCGGCTGCTGTATTTTCAGGGTGCTCTGAAATTAGCTGCTGATATTTCTGACTTGCCCGCCCCGAAATCAAAGAAGAAGAAAAAGAAGAAAAAAAAGGAAGAAACACAAAACACGATACATTGCTGATTCCTTGTCCGGCTGCATTTCGCCAGGGCAGAGATGCGGGACCGCCGCCCACACACGGACAACGCCTGGCTTCGCTCCTACACCTCTTTCGAGGCAGTAGAGGCGCGACGGTAGCCTATGGGCCAGCTGGTGCCGTGGCCTATGCTCCGGGCCTTCCGAACTCTTTTGGGGGAGGCCAACTGTTGGTTTCAAGGCACACCAAGCAGAAGACCCATTTGGCAAAGGCCCTGTGGGATTGAAGGCACACCAAACAGAAAACCCACGATTTCATGGGGGGGTCTTAGGGGGCACTTTCACTGCGCACGAATCTTGAGTTTGCCAAATGGGGTGTTCTCAGATTCACCGCAAGAATCTGAGAAGACAGTTCGGAGCCATAAGACATGCACCAGCCTTTTTTCCATGGGTAATTAATTTGCAGGAGGTTTGCACACTTGGTTTGCAAGATGCTCGTGCCTGTTTCACCGCTGCCCAAGGCAGCGCATGTACATTTTTTCCCTACGTGGCGCAGAAGCGCGAAAGACATTAGCAGAAGAAAGGGGGACGCCTCTCCGAAAAGAAGGTTCCTGCGCGGCGCTTTGCAAATCTGTGCCCACGCCCCCCGACCCCGCTGCAAATCCTGCTTTAACCCTTGACTCTGAATCCAGCAGAATGTCGGCACCCAAACGCGGCAATTCTCACATGCCTTGCGAGCAGTCAGGCGAATAAAGATTTGCATGTGTAACCTCTGGAAGGCAGCGTTCAAAGCGAATGCCTGACGCGCCAGGGTCCTTTGTGGCCGCTGGGAGTTGTTCACTTACTTCGCCTGCTTCTTGAGCTTCTTGATTGACACCCCTGCTTCAAAATGCATGTTCAGACTTCAAGAGTTGTGTGAATCAAGGATTGTTGCACGACATGCGAAGCATGGCAACGTACTAGAATCAACTGCTCGCCTGCCAATGTGCAGATGGCGCATGGCCTTTCATTATGCAGTTTTAGGGGACGAACCATGATTCGCCGATTTAACTTTCGCCCAATTGCTTGAATTGTCAAGTCGTGGTCCGATCGGCTGCAGCCAGCAGAGATTGTCACAGTTCCGCAATGTTTCGACGGCAGACCACTGGGGCGGTCTTTTGGGTGGAGCCCGTATCGGTGCGCGCTGTTGGGGTGACATAGCCTGGCCTCTTCCCAGCTTAGAAGACTGACACATTTGCATTGTAGATTGCAATTTTAGTTGCCCCAGCCATATCGGTTGCTTCAAGTCCGTTCGCATTCAAAGCGCCTGCCGGCCCTGGTCAGATATTCAATTCGCCAGTTCCTGAAAATTAGGGCCTTTGGGCATGCAATTGCCGTGTACCGCCTAATTAATTAGCAACTCAATAGGAAAATCCAACCGAACGCCATAAGATTGAAGCCGGATGCATGCCAACCGTGCCGTGTTTGCCGCTAGTCTACAGCCCTTCGGCTCACCTCCGGGCAATTAGCGGCCATGGAGGCCAGGGATCGAGTTTCGTCCTGGGCTGGTGGGGAATCGGGGAGGAGAAATCGCTTGCTTTCCGAGCGTAGAGTACGCGCTACCGCAGGTATTGAAGAGGAGCTTATGCCAATGTGAGGTCCAAGCCGTCCACGGGTCAATCCCATAGTGTGCGATCTCATGCTGAGGCAAAACGGCAAAATGCGTTTGCGAAGAACGACTCGAGACAATTGTCACCAATCCTGGGAGCACGGCCAGCAAATGCACTTCGTTCCCATTCTAGTTATGTATTGCAATGGGCGGGCGATTGCTGGCTCGGCAAGCTATGAGACCACGACTGTTCATGCTGTTTGCCTTTATGCGCACGCGCCGGATCGTTCATGCCCTTTGGCAGTTGCGGTGGGCGCACTACTTATATGTGTCGTGCTTCAGTACCAACTCCAGCCCATACATTCATGACATGTCTTGCAGTCAGACACGGGGGGGAAGGGTCACTGAACATCCTTGGCGAGCCGAGGTGCGAGCCTTCAAGGTAGAAACCGCGATCAGCGAGCTTACGAAACAACAAACGCCGCGTGCAGGATGAACTGGAGAGGCAAGCCCAGGTGATGGCGGAGAAAGTGCGGCCCTCGGGCCATGAAAGACCTTTTGACCTGATGGCTTTTTCCCCAACGTTTGCTTCATAGCTTAGGGTTTCGAAGCACAGATCTGACAATTTTCTCGTCCTTTCTGGGGCAAATGGCCATCTTGGCATGATCGTAAGGCCCTGGCCAACAGCTGTTGAAATGGCCAGCGCCGAGCCTGTTTGAGCAATCAGCTGGATAAAATTCGAATTGATCCCTGGGTCTGAGGGTTTTTGTATTACACCCTGGGATTACACCCTTGGGAAATGACCCAGAATGGTTCAACATAACACGATTTTAGCCGGACATGTGCCTAAATGTGGTCAATACCCAGTGAAAACCCTTAGACTGCGAGAGATGTCTTCGCCTCAGGCGCTCTCCGCCCTCCCTGAAGCTGCCCGGGCCCGGGGCCCCAGCAGAGTGGCTGAGTGATTGTCCGGCACCAGGACCGACTTCCGTAGAGATGTTTTTTTTTTTCTCCGTCCAGCCGGGCGCAGTATGGATTTGATGCATTTTAAAAGGTACCTTGACTTGGCAATGTCAAAGGGCAAACGCTGCTTGCAATTTACCTAGGGGTTTGCTTCTGGTAGTAGCCAGGCCCGTTGTCTTCAGCGGGGGCGAAATTGTAGCTGTCCATTTCGGCATGAATTGCCTCTCCAGCCGCAACAGCAGACCCCGCGTAGTTTGTAGACACACACAACATTTGTGCGTTTATCAATGCATAAATGTGTACATGCAGGTGTGTGTAAATGCAACTGTTGCATATATATATATATATACACATACGTCCGTATCTATATATCTATATATCTATATATCTATATATATATATATGTTACATGCATTGATCCTAGAGAGCCTGGGGTCACGTGGTTTCACCGAGGCCGGGAAGATTGCGAAGGTGAAGGAAGGCATCTTGAAGCGCTTGAAGGAGCAGGCCGGGTGCCATTTGGCTGTGGCTCAATATTTTGAAGAGGTGTGGTTACACAGGTTTTAGTTGTTTTTTCCAATAAAAGAAGGGGTTGCGCAGGTTTTAGTTGTTTTTTTCCCTTCAGAAGAAGGTGCCATTTCAGGCACTTCTTCTTCAGCCACAGCCATTTTTACTGCTGGCCCCCAGGCCCCCGAACTGACCCTTCCCACTGATTTGCGTTGAAGAGGATCCCAAGGTGTTTTGGTCGAAACCCGGAAATGGTTGCTTGCTGGCCGCCCCCAAGTGACGGAAATATCAGGGCTCCTGTGAGAATTAGTCACCCTGGCTTTTGAAGCACCCTTGAGCCTGTCCAGATCTGCGTTGGCTGTTTCGGGACCGCTGTGCTTTGGTGTTTCGTCGCCATGAAAGGTTCGGTCAAAATGTGCAGTCTATGGTCCATCGCCGGGGGACATGGGGGAGTCACTAGCGCTTAAAGTGGGCACCAGGTGGTCTTTCAAGTTCTGGGGGGGGGGGCACAAAAATAGGGCGACTTGGATGCGCCCTTCTTGATGGTAGTTGTACCCCCCTTTTTCCAGGAAGCCACCCAGCACCCTCTCAATGACTGCTTCCATCATGTCCAAAACCACCAGTGCCGTCCAAAAGCAGTGTTTGTGGCTTGCGGCAGGCCCCAAAAGGTCGCGTCACACGCCAGGCCAACGCTGCCAGCCCTCCGGTGCGAGAGCCAAGTCATGCGACCTCTAGGCATCCAAGAGGAGAAACCTGACTGTGGGGCTCTGTGAGGATTTTCCCCTTTGGTTGGCTCCATGAACTCACACTGGCAAATGACTGGAATCAGGCTGAAGCCAATGGAATCGGAGCTAAACTGACAGGCCGGTTGTTGAATGTTAGTTGGAGGCGGACAGAAATTCGAACACCTCGGCATCGCAGCAGTAAAGTTTAAGCAGAGTTGATTTGGTTTAAGGGAGGTATGATAGCTTTCTGAAACAACTGTGCAAAGAGCCCAGAATCGGGTTTGTGGCTGGGAGGGCAATCACTCTGCGCTTAGCACCTGAAGCCTTGTGAGGAGCAGATCCTTCTTTGAAGAATTTGTGCCTGTAGCCGGGCGAGTTTAAGCATCTCTCTTCCCATTCCTGGGCGTACGCATGTTTGCCCAATCTCTAGTTGTCATTGGCAGTGGGTGTGCTTGCGGGAAGTTCTTGGACCCTTCTTTGGTAGCAGGTGCGCTTGCAATGGTGTCACCTTGGACCAGTACCTGCCCATGGTCCTTCCGTGGCCCCTTTCGCTGCCGCGGGCAAATATCCCCAAAGGGTCCCTGTCAATGTGAGAAGCCACATGTGCAAGTGAACCAACTACACCCCAGAAAGCCCTGGGACATTGCAGTAAATTCGGGAGTTCCCTTGTTCCCCTCAAAAGGTTGGTTGGCATCCCGGCCATTCCTCTCTTGCAATGGAGCCTCGCAATTCTGAGGTGCCGATGCCGGCGCCAGCCGCCGCAACCTGAGCCAAATAGAGAGCACAAATTGCATAGCAAGCAGCTCCAACAAAACAATCAATAGAGGATGCCCTCATCTTTTGGGGGGTCCTAGTTATTTGGACACATACCCATCTTGCCGTAAGGGAAATGAAGCTGAAACCAAGAGGCCTGGAGTCAATAGGCTGCTGCCACACGAGCTGTGAGCTGCTCCTGTTTGGGACCCAAGGCGCCAGTTCCGGCTGGAATTCCTGCGTGCTTGCCCCAAGGGGCACGCGCGCAATCGGCTTCCGAGAGCGCTCGGAAAGGGATCCATCCCGCAACTTGTTTCTTTTGTTTTTGTTTTGTTTATCTCCCTTGGCAGTGGTGTTTTTATTTGTTGTTGTTTTTGTTTGTTTTTGTTTTTGCAAAATTGTTTAGCAATGGGGAAAGGGCATGTCGCAGATTTCGCTGTTAGCCAGTGTGCAAAGGATGTGCCTCTCTTGGTCAAGCGCAGGTTTGCATCCTTGTGGAGCTTCGTTGGAGCTAGAAGCAAGCAATGTCGAGCCTTAAATATTTCTATTTTTCTCGATAAACAAGCAAATTGTGACATCCGGTTGATTGCTCTGACACAAAATTGTTCGGGGTCTGGGAAAGATGCTAGATGCTATTCATTACCTGGCGCACTTTTATGAGTTGCGGTGGATTGCACACGGCTCATGGCCCAGCGAGAAGCAAAGAAGCATGGAAGCTACTCGGATCCCTTTCCCGCCCAACATGAGGCAAATTGCGCCATCTACTTTCAGCCTGGTCTTTCATTTGTCTACATTCTCCGAGGCTTGACACTAGACTTGCTGCTGCTCAGTAGGGAATGACCCTGCGGGTCTTGGGAATGAACCGGAAGGGCATTCCCTTAAAGGAAGCCATAGGGGGTGGTTTTTGTTTTCAAAGTCATTCCAACTCATTCCCTGCACGCCGGCAAGTAACACTCTCATGCGCGTGAAGAGTACCACAGAGCGGCGTTCCCTTTGCTCAGCGCGGCGTGCGGCTGGTGATTTCGGCTCAGCGCAGCGCGTCTGGAGAGGCTGCGCCTCTGACCTGCAGCATGGCTGGAGGGAGGGAAGGTATTGGGGTCTTGGGCAAAAGATTTGTGTGTTCTTCCTTCCCTTTTTTTTTGGGGGGGGGGGGTCCGGCTAAGCATGAAACAGAATATGTGAATCCTTCCCTCGTTTTTTTGGGGGTCCGGCGATGCATGAAACAGGATGTGCGAACATATTGCTTTTGATGTGCCTGGTGGAGCTAAGTTCCTCGGCTGGTTACTCATTGCCTGAGTTCCTGGGCGTACCTGTTTGGTGAGACCCTTCTGGTGGTACACAACAAAATTGGTCACTTCTTTTGGCCGGCCCTCTCCATCGGAGAGGTTGCATGACTCAAGTCACTGGAGCCTGGCTCGAGGACGGCATTGCTCTGAGAGCTTCACGAGTTCAGATTGAGGTCATCAGGTCGGTAGCACAAGGTCGGAACCCAGTAAATTTGAGATCCCCCACCTTGTGCTAAACGATTTTGACCACAGATATGTGCAGCTTGCTGCTTTCTCTGCACACTAGCAGCTGGGTTTTCCTGTGCATTGCCATCGATGGGGCAACGTTTGCAGCACATAGTGAGGCACTTTTGGCGTGGCTGATATTCTTTGGCAAAGGGCAAAGGACTTAAATGGGTCTCCTTTTGGCTTGTGCTTTAATCAGGGCCAAAGAGGACTTTAGGGGTTCCGTTGGAGGCAATCCGGATGCTGTGCCAAGCTGGGTTTGAAGACAAATTCAACACGTATGAAAATGGCCTGGCGTTTTGAGATGTGAAGCCGGCCTTGTCTCACTCCCTGAGTTCCTGGACTTTGAACTTCTTGGAAAGAGTGTTTTAGAGGTAAACAAAGTTTACTTACCTTTTTTGGCCCATCCACTCAGGCACAGAGTTGTGAACAACACTCCCCTCTCAGCACGCTTGGCCCCAAGTGCTCCGCTGAGGCATTGAAGCTATGGGCAGGCGCTCGGCTTGGGGGCGAGTTGCTTAAAACGTGGTGGCCCCCTGCAAAGGCAGCTTACTCACCAAATTCTGCGGCGCTTTTGGTCATTGGCTCTTTGGTGGTTTGCTCCAGGGAGCAGTTTACAGGTTCATTTGCAATGATTTCCCGGTAGCGGTGGCCCGTATGCAGGGTTCTGCACAGTCGTGGATGTACTTGGCGGCCTTCCCCAGGATTTCAATCGGGTTTCATCCATCCCTGTCCCCCCTGCGTCTGGATTTGGGAATCGGACCGCAGGTTTAGCCCATGTTTCCATTGACCGATCGGGCAACCCATGTTGGGGTTACCAACTTTTTTCTGACAACCGCAGCCATTTCGTCCAGGCAATCCAGGGTTCGCAGAGCGCCTGACGTCAGGCCTATGCTGTTGGCCGCCCTGCTGGCCGTGGCCATCGCCCGGAAGACAAAGGAGCGACCTTACGCGGCAGGTAAGAGGTACTGGATGTGAAGCTCAGTTGCCCAAAGCGAATCGACCTTTTGGCCTTTTGGTTTTCCAAGTTTGGTCCATTTTTAGTACAGGGACTTTAAAGGTTAACCTTTTATTTGCAACTCCTTTGGGCAAGTGAGAGAAGGTGAGGCACAAAAGACGTACAGAACTCGCATGGTCCCAATGGATGCTTTCTGACTGGCAATGCGTATGGGCCTGTGCAAGTCTGGTATGGAGTGGCGACAGCTGACTTTTTTGTGTTGACACTTGGATTCCCAAGGTGCAGGCAAACCAAGGAAAAGGCAAGCGTGCAAAGCCAAAGGGCAAGCGCAAATGCTGGGTAAAATCGATTTCAAAGTTTGCAACTTGGCATGTAAGCATCAATCAGGAGCTCCAGGAGGGTCCGATGGACAAGGCGGAGAGGGTGAAGTCAGCACAGACCGAATTGCCGGGCTTTCATGCGTCGTACGGAACAGTGCCGGAACAAAGGAGCCCGGGCTGCGTTCTTAAAGTTCGGAAACCATAGCACGGTGTTGATGCCCAAGCGCGGGCCATACAAGCATATTAGGTTGAAAGGGGCCTTGAAAGGGGCCCGTGCGGCCACTGTCTTTGCCAGAGGTGAGAACAGCTTCGTCGCTGTCAGCTTTTCCGCCTGTTGGCAACTCACCTTCCTCTCATTTCTCATGTCTGTGAGGAAGGGCAGGTGCTGGTGGCTACCCCCCTTTGGACCCCGAAACCTTGGAAGCTCAGCGGCCAGGTCGTTGACATGCTGAAAGGCCTGGGGCTTTCTTCCGCCCGGATGTATCGAGTTCGACGCCTGGGTGTGTGTCAAAATGGACAGGCCCCTTGAAATGCTGGTATTCCTTTTTGTTCTTTTGGCTGTTCCCTCGTTTTTTTTGGAGCTTACTCCAACAACAGGCTACCCTCAAAGAAACAATCACAGACGGTTTGTTCAGGTGCAACGGTGCGACGGAGACTCCCTGTAAATAAAGAAGCCGGGTGGGCAAAGGTTTGGTTGATGCTGCGCTTTTGCAGATTTTCTGCCAGCATGGCGGCCTTTCCACAATGTCAATGAAGAAGGGCGTGCTGGCGATATCCATACAAACGCGATATTGAACATCCGCTGCATTTAATTTGTCCCATGAGGCGAATGGTCTATTCAAGCCACTCGGTCGCCGAATTCGACCGAAGGCATGGAGACGGCGCTGACAAAGGAAGCTGAGGAGGACGCGGCCACGAACCAGAAGATGGACAGTTTCTGGGCCAAAGTTGATGCCGGCCCCGGTTCTCGCCGGGTAGACCTTTGGTGGATGTTTTTGTGGTTGGCTGCTGGCGGCTCTGCGAAATACGTGTTGCCGAGAGCCCAGTCATCCCAGCCTGAAGTGGGCGACTTAGCGTTGAGGCTGGTGCAAAACCACGGAGGAGGAGCAGACCGGGCACCTCGGACAGGGCATCCTGCATGATAGCATCAGTTCTTGGTGCCAAAAGCAGATTCCACCCAGCATGTCTCCTTTTGCTCAGGCAGCGGACACATGCAACTAGCAGACACGGTTCAGTAACATAGGTGTCCTTTTTTTTTTGTTGTTTTGCTCGGAAAATAGATGGTGATTCTTGGTTTACCTGGTTTAATCATCTACCAGGGCCATCTATTTCTCCTAAAAAGACGGAAGGTTTTCCGGCGCGCCAAGGATCGTCACCAGCTCAGTGGAGACGACTCAGCTGCAGACCACTGCTGTGCAGGAGAACACCCTTCTAGCAAACCTGGCATGCTTCTGGCCTCTGCGCGGCACCGGTTCCGTGATTTTCTGGTCATTTGGGACTCATGCTGTGTGTATATATATATATATGCGTGTATAAATTATGAATCGTATATCTATATACGACTATATAGCCTCCCCCTCAGGACAGCTCAAACTCTTCCACAGGCTATGGGACTCAGAAAGTCTGAAAGTTGGTTGAAAGGCCAGTTCGCGCAGTTTCCCTTGGTGCTTGTGCCTAATCTTGCAACATGTTTGGCTTGAGCTGGTCCTCGCGGACCGCAGCCAGAAACTAGTTGCTGACATACAAACATACGACAGGGTTCCCCTGAAGTTTTATGGTGCCCAATCCAAAAGGACCCCCCGCCTCGTGTCCGCCCATTCCCATGCGTTACTTGTAGGGGTCAGCCAACTGGGTACTTTCTGGATGCGAGCGAGCGAAAGCTCGCTGAGGGTGAGCGCCTCCAGCAAGAGATCCGCACGCTGACCAAGGAGATCGCTTCCAACAAGGCAGGGGCTGCTGGTTGAAAGGGAGCCGTTAGGAGCCGGGGTATCCCAACTTGCCAATTCAAAGAGATAGCTGAGGAGCTACCAGGAGTTCTGTTTATTGTTTTGCCATGGAGTGTCAACGGGGAAAGGTGTTCTTTTTTTTCTTGCCTAGCCCTGGCACAGGGCTAACCCACCCTAAACCCAGCCAATCAAAGCCTGGTGATGCTGAGGATGAAAACGATGCTGAGGATGTTATAACGATGACGGGCCTGAACCTACCCTAAACGGACTACCCCAAACCCACCCCAAACCTTTGTCCGTTAGTGTCTCCTTTCGTGCACGCCAGGCTGTGCCAGGGTTAGGCTAATGCCAGGGCGATGCAAAAAAGAAAAAGGCTCAGCCGTGTCAACGGTGGCTATGCTTAAAGAAGGGCCTCAAGTGTTTCAGCTTCGCCTGGGCACGAGATGGGCTGTGCATGCCTGTATGCCTGTGGCCCCATGTGAAATAGCAGTGTCCGAGTGGTAGGC